GCCACACTTTTGCCTGTCTGCCCACAGGACAGCAAAGCACTCCAAAGAAAATTTTGCTGTAGTAACAAGCCCCTTCTGTGTGATTATGACGAGTACAATTAGACTTTCTGTCATTCTGCTATATATCAAGGAGTAAATTCGCATTCCGGTGTGAAAAATAACTAAGTACAACTAAAAATATACGGAGGGCTTTTCAAATTGAGCCGCCATTTTTTCCTCCCTTCATTCGCATGTAAATTTTCTTATATATTCGTACGTCGGCCTACTTGGCCCATTATAAACCGATTTTTTATCCCTCTCTGTTTACTTTAACTACAATGAGGTCTAGTGCACGAGGTCACGACGATAGCGCCGTTTTGAAAGCAGTCCAATTTGACCTATATTTGATGATTTTTCCAAGGTCATTTATCCACGATGTCGAAACTTGGCGATTATGGATTAATTTTTCATTTCCCAGTGTTGGGGGGTTGTGCGCCTAATTTAGTGCTTTTTAATGGAGGATTTTTTTGTTGACTTCTTGAATGCTTAAATGGGTATCATCGCTGAACTTAAACCGTATCTCTCTTCCTCTCAAAATTCAACGCCACGTGATTTACGGGCTGCTCCATCCAGACGGCACGCAATGAGTTGCTTCCTTTTCTGTTTAATGCAAGCCGTTTGCCCCCCGTGACAGCCATTTTGGATATACTTGCAGGTGGGAAAATATGCTAACTATTAAACCTTCCTTAAAAAGTCTGACCGCCAATATCATATTGATAAAACTCGTTCTGCTGACTTCTTTGACTTCGAAGTTTTGCATTTACAACCTTCTCGAAGACGCCCCCTTGGCGGTAACAGTGTGACCAAAGAAATAATCCGCTTCACCGTTTTACATTTTTTAGTATCCCGCCCCTCTCATGTTGGTCAAAGGTACCAATGGGATGCAAATGCCTGCCTCATCTCAGTCTGCAGCTCGGAGGAAGATTCAAATTTCCCGAGCCCTGGTGTCGAGCGATCTTCCACTGGTTTCTAGTCAGGTGATGCATCTATTACCATCAGACCTTTTTGATTCACTGTTGCTCTTTTCAACTATGGCGATCTAATTCATCCTTCTTCCCCTCCCTCCTAACACAGGTACACGTATATGCGAAGAGTTTTGCGGACTCCGGTGCCGACTTGCTGTCCGCCTACTCCACGAATTTACCTCCAGACACCCAAAATGAGACAGAAAATGCAAACCCCGCGTCATCCTTGTCGATTTTGTCTCTGGTATACAGTTCTTCGAATTCCCAACCAGCGCAGGTTTGTGTTCCGCTTTTTGTGTCTACCTGCTAACGTTGAACGCACAGACGCTTCTTATGATACATACAAGGGTGGTTACTGAATTGTCA